CCGGACCTCCGCGGGGTGCGAGTGAGCCCATCGGAACTCAGAGGTGCCGCGCTGGGCGCTGGGGGAGGTGCGCATGAGCCCGGAGGTGCCCATGCCCGGCCCCAGCCCGCGACCCCGGCCCACTCACCGCCACGGCCGCAGGGTTCAGCGAGAAGCTCTCGTAGTAGTTGTGACGGGTCCAGTCCAGCGAGTCCTTGAGCTCCGGCCGCGCACTCCGCTTGGCCTCGCGGATCCGCTTCTTGCTCTTGTGGTTCATCCTCCGGGGGTCACCAGCTGCTCCCGCGACGACCTCGGCGCGCCTCGCTTCCTGCTTCCAACGCACCCCCTCCCCGGCCCGGGCAGCGGCTGCGGCGGTGGAGGCGGAGGCGGCGGCGGCGGCACCCAAACGCCCTTCGCTCTGGCCCGGCGCCTTTAAAGTCGCCTTCCAGAAAATTCACTCCCCAACCACCTCCCGGGCCTCGGGTTGGGCACGCGGCTGCCGTCTTCCCCGCCCCCCGGCCTGTCGCGGTGAGCCATTGGCTCGGGCACCTCCGGGGTCCGCCCTCACACTCGCCGGCTCTCCGCCATGTTGGGAAGGTCGCGCTGATCGAGGAGCCGCCTGACTACGGCTCCGCCTCTCCCGCGCCCGCTTCCGGTGTGCGCGTCACTTCCGGGCGTGGGCCGCTTTATGCGCGGCTCGTTTCCGGCGTGCGAGTTCCCGAGGCCGCTTGTCTTCCGTGTCTCTTTTGCCTGGTCTCCGGTGTCTTCTCCCTGCGCGGCCACATCGTCGCCGGAAAGGTGCTTTCCCCGCCCTTGCAGTCAAGTTGCAGCGACCCGGCAGGGCCGCCAAGGGCCACGTGGCGCCGGTGAGGCGGCTCCAGCCGGCCAGGGGTTTCCCGCGCGCGCAGCCTGGCAGCCCGGCGCTCCTCGCTATTCCCGGCCCGTTTGGGGGCCCCGGATTTCCCCCTAGGCAAGCGGGGCCCCCGACGGCATGAGGTCCGGGTCCAGCGCTTTCGGTTCTCGGAGGAGCCTGGCCTGGGCGCCGAGGGGGCCGTACTGGAGGTCAGCGTCCCGCAGGTGCGTGCGGCGGGAGGTGCCTCCGGTCCTTTGCGGTGGCGCCCCGGGCAGGAGCCGTTCCCGGCCGACCTGGGGGTGTTGGGGGGGCGGGGGCGGGGTTTGGCGGCTACCCTGCCTTAGGATGGACCTCAGGGCGGGAAGGTTTGTGGCCTGAAGGGGCCCTGCCGGGAAAAGGGCCTTCCACATCGAATGTATCCTGCCAGAAAGGTGGCATTTTTGACACCAAATATTTTCTTTGATTTTGAAGGGCTTCTTAACTCAGCTTTATCCAGGACCGAGGATTCCACCTTCCCTTTTCAAATAAAGTTTCTTGGGTTGGCACTCATTTGTTCTTTTCAGCCCACGGCTGTCCCCAAACTCTCAGTAATAATAGAAGTAATACCTTATGCGTCCGGGTTCTCAAAGGACTTGGACGTTCCAGTGTTTCGATTTTAACAGCAGTCTGTGAGGTAGGTATTAGCAAAAATAATTTGAAGATGAAAAACCGCCTAAGAGGAGGTTAAGTCTCCAGTGAGACCCAATTCTGATAGTTTTTTAAATGCCTTCGTGTTGAAATACCCACTGGGACTTCTTCCCAAGTTTAGGAGGTGAAGATACTCCCTGTGAGAACAAAGACCCCTTTACAGCCAAATCTGCAAACTCACTCACTGCTCTGGTCAGAAATCCTTTATTGTATCCTGGGTAAAATCTACTAGGCAGGTGTTTTATTCACGCAGCACTCCCTACACTTAGAACCAGTGCCTAGGCACTAATATTTTTGTTGAGTGAATTGAATGAGTTCAGACTTTCAGTTCCTTCACCTTTGATACTTACACCACTCCAGCCCCGTATCCAACCAGTCCACTAGCAGCACCCTCTGCTCTAGAAAACAGAAAGACTTGCAGTTTTGCAGTTTAATGACAGCTTGCTTTGCTTATTTTGTGCCGGGTGCTGGACGAAGTATTTTGCATTGAGTCTTCCAAGTCGCCCTATGAGATAGGCTTTTTGCAGATGAGGAAACTGAAGCACAGACAGGTTAAATAATGGGTGAGGTCACACAGCTAGTAAGTTACACAGCCAGCATTTGAACTCAAGGCAGGCTCATTCCAAAGGTGTGAGTCCTTATTTTGCCTCCCTGAATACTGTGCTCTCACAATTCTGTATCTTTCCAAAGACTCTGTAAGCTGCCTGCCTTCCTAATTCCAGGACTGAGCTGCAAACTTCTGGAATGTCTTCCTGGACTTACCGTTTCCCATAAGCATACCAAGTTACGCCTGTGATTGTAACCCTCTGATACATCATTCTTAACTGCACTTAAAATAAAAGCTAAACTTCCTGTGGCCTACAAGACCCCACAGGTCTGGTCCCTGCCTTCCCACTGACCTCTGCACTACAACCCTGCCTCCCAGCCCCCATGCCCCTGCGGTCAGTGCCCTCTGTGGTCCAGCCAGAGGCTTTTTAGTTCCTGCTTCAGGACCCCTTCCTGAATCATTCTCGCTATCTAGGACAGTCACCTTGTGGTCACCGTCTCCCCACCCCTCCCTGTCCCCACCACTCTCTCACATCACCTGCTGTTGTGTTAGCATTATCACCAACTAAAAATATATTTGCTTACTTGTGGCTTGTCTTTTTCCCAGTAGGGTATTTATGTGTGTGTATATGTGTATTCCATGATAACCTAGTTACATCCTTAGCCCACTAAGCCATTCAGTCCCTGGATAAATGCTTGTTGAGTGAATGAGTGTATGAAGAGTGCTTATGACAGGGTATTGCAGTTTTATATACCCCACGGGATGTGGACTGGACAGCAGGGAACTGTCATTTTTGTTCAGTGTTGGGCACTCTAATTGCTGTAAAAATATATACTCCAACTGCCAGCAGATGAGTAATTTTTGGCATACAAAAAATTCTTTTCAGGTGCTGCATCTCCAGTATGGGATGTATGTTTGGCCCTGTGCGGTGGTCCTGGCTCAGTACCTGTGGTCTCACAGAAGATCCCTGCCAGGCAAGGCTGTCTTAGAGGTACAAGTGCCCTTGAGGTTTCCTAAAATACTCTGTTCGGATTTAAGTCTACGTGCTTGTTACTTTTTTTTTTTTAAGATTTTATTTGAGAGAGAGAGAATTAGAGATAGCACGAGAGGGAAGAGGGTCGGAGGGAGAAGCAGACTCCCCGCTGAGCAGGGAGCCCGAAGTGGGACTCGATCCCGGGACTCCAGGATCATGACCTGAGCTGAAGGCAGCTGCCCAACCAACTGAGCCACCCAGGCGCCCTACGTGCTTGTTATTTTTGTTAAATATTTTTAAATCGGGTGATTTGGCCAGCTTGTAAGTCATGTGAGCTAAGAATGCTTTTTACATTTTGTTTAAACAAAGAACACGCACCAGAGACCACAGGAGTCCCACTGAGACTAAAATACCGCCTGGCCCTTTACATTACGCTGACCCTTATTCTAAGTGAAGCCCATTGACTAATTCTAGTTATAGAATCTTGGCATGGAAGCAATCATTAAGATCATCTTTCCAGGGTATCCCAACAGGGTCATCCGGGGTCCAGTGTATCACATGCAGTTTCTCATACAATAGCCCTTTCCATATTTTGGAAATCTTGAGAGTATCCCAAACTCTTCCTCATCACTCCACCTGACGTGAGACTGCTAAATGCTTGGAGAAATAAACTTCTTGTCAAGTTTGCAGAAATGGTACAAGGCTTAAATCTGAAGGCCGAGGACAAATCTAGAACTTAGTTACACCTCTTAACTTTTGCAAAAACCGTGTAAATGAGGGGTGTAAAGATACTTGGCATACTTCTGGCCCTGAACAGTGGCAATTTGTAGAGATTCAGAAAAGATATCTCCCAAGCTCTTGCTCAGAACTGGAAAATGGGAAACTTGTTTTAAATCCAGTATTTATAAAGGCGTTCCTTGGTTAGTCCTTAGCATGCTTAAGATCTTGTCACTTTGAAGGCCCAACTGGAAAATCCCCCTCGTAGGAAGTCACGTTTCAGACCTGTCGGGTTATAGCCACATAAAAGCAGTAGAAATTGGTAGTAACAGCCATTATAATGGCCAGGTGTGCAGGCAACTCACCCATCAAGCTTCTAGAGACCCAATGTCCTGTATAAATAGGAACTCCCTTAGACTGTAAGAGAACTGACAATGACAGAACAAGTGTCCCAGACTGCCTTGGGCATATTAAGCAATTAAGTCAGTTGAGTTGCAAGTACAGGGTCCTGTATGGGACTTAACCTTCCCACCCAATTACGAGGAATCTCAAGTAATTTCTACAAATTGAAAAACTTAAGCTTCATATAGTAAAGCACTGCAATTGTGGCACATTTTGTAGATAGGAGCAGCTCATGATTGACCCTGTACTTAGGGAAAAGTTCCCCAATTCCCTGCAATGGTAAGCAGAACTTTGAAATGCTGTCTTTTAAATTTAGATTGGAGCTGGAGTGAGCCTTCCAGGAATTATGGCTGCAAAATGCGGTGCTGAAGTGATCTTGTCGGACAGTTCAGAGCTGCCTTACTGTCTAGAAGTCTGCCGGAAAAGCTGTGAAATGAATAACCTGCCCCAGGTGCGTGTCATAGGACTGACATGGGGCCATGTATCTCAGGATCTTCTGGCTCTACCACCACAAGATATTATTCTTGCATCTGATGTGTTCTTTGAACCAGAAGGTAAAAACTTTTTTGGTTTTCAATAGTAACTCTGGCTGGAGAGATGTTAAGTAAAAGTCCATTTAAGGAGTCCTTTCTTCCCAGATTTTGAAGACATTTTAACTACAGTCTACTTTTTGATGCAAAAAAACCCCAAAGTCCAGTTGTGGTCCACTTACCAGGTAAGAAGGTAAGCCTGAATAATCCTGGTTTACTCTCAGTTTTATTGAAACTTAAATCCTAATCCTCATGCATATATCTACTTTAAGGATAAAATGAAAATGTATCTGAAGCAAAACAGGAAAAGCATGATTTTAAAAAACTATTTATTTTTTTTCAGTGCTGACTGGTCACTTGAAGCTTTGCTCTACAAGTGGGATATGAAATGTGTCCACATTCCTCTGGAGTCTTTTGATGCAGACAAAGAAGACATAGCAGAATCTACCCTCCCAGGAAGACATACTGTTGAAATGCTGGTCATCTCCTTTGCAAAGGACAGTCTCTGAATTACACCTACATACAAGCTCTTCTGGGACAATGTCAATACTAATTAGCAACCTGGCATGCCAACTAAGACTCAGACCACTTCAGCTTCTTGGGAGTACAAGCACTGAATATGGTCTGATCTGTTGGCCTTAAAGATGGTGGTGGGTCACCTCAACACTCATGGGTTACAAAGCCATGAAAACAAAAATTTTTACACCTGTAAAAAAGGGACTTGGATTGTTCTTTAGAAAAAAAAAAATTAAAAACAGCATAAATTAAGCTGAGAGACGGGGGTACCCACAACCTCAAGAAAGTGCTACCTTAGAGCATTGATTTTAGGGGTTATGGGTGCTGAAATGGCATTTCCACTTTTTAACTTAGGAAAAGTCAACTACTACACATTTCACTTTCATACTGTACAGTCAGTAACAATTCACAAGGTAATTGCACAGGTCTTTCAAATAAAGGGGGGAAAAAAGACCAAGACATATTCTGAGAAAAGCTAACACCAAGAAAACGTTTTAATTAAACTACAGAAACAATGGTTATAGTACAGAATTTTCATGAGCAAAAAGATACACCATGTTATAAGTACTTACAAAGTTACAAACCATTTTGCTTCCTTAACATTTTCCATATTTTAAGTTCATACATGAAGATGATCAGATATACCATTTTGGGGAAAGGGGGGGGAAAAAGGTGTATTTATCATCAGCTAGATGTGCTCACTGTATGCTCCGTTATTTATATGCAAGGCCCGGGTGACTGGAAGTGCAGTTGTCAGGCATTTTAATAAACTGGACAGCCATTTGTTTCTGCACGACAAGGCATCTTTACACAGGAGCAATCAGGAGAAAACAGGAAACAGCCAAGCACTCTGCACTGCAACACGCCACCTTAACAGCTAACCAGCATTACTCAACTGCTACACAACTGCGCCTAGTGCACAAAAATACACAAGAGAAGAGATTAGAATTGTGTTTGGTAAACAATCCTTTTCAAAAAATCAAGTCTTTTCACCTGAAAAGTCTTTATACAAATTTGGGTTCAGATTACCACTTAGATCTGAAGGTAAATAACATATACAAACAAATTTACACCAACTTTTGTAGGTTTTTAATTTTAAGGAATGAAGGCAATGTTGAGTCAATCTCTTGACAGCTTTAGGCTGTGTGTAATGGCTGCACACGTTTCCTTAAAAGTCAGGAGGCCACAAATTAGGTTACCAATCTGTTTAATTTCAAACAAAAAAAGTCAGCACTATATAAACAAAAAGGAAAATTTACCTCAAATATCCAAGCCAATAATGAAATCTGAAGTCGTTCACCTCACTAAATTACAAGAAATTTGAATAACAGCAACAAAATGGCACATAAAATGAAGTTTGCCACCTGAGGCAAAGCTTAAAACAAGTAAAAAGTTAGACAAATGTTACAAAATAACCTTTTCAATAGCCAGTTGCTTGTTCCAAGGACTCTTCGATGGACTGAGTGTGTGGTCCTTTTCCCCCAAGTCTTCTGTTATGTTGCTTGTTGACCCATCTAGGTTTGAAAAGAAAAAAGTTCAGTTTATCTTCCATTACAATGAAGTTACCGAAAGTGCACATGGTTTCAGTTTCAGGCATGTACTTACTAAGGCTCTGGTGAAACAAGTAGGTTACGGAAAGGTTCCACCCAGCCATTAATTATAAAGGCCCAATTAGGAAATTTTCACAAAGGCTACCATCCGCTTTTACAAATTTGTGTTTATGCAATCTTGGCCTAATAACCAAGGTGAAAAATGATACAAGGGAGGGAAAAAGGGGGGGGGAAAAAAAAAAAAAAAAAAAAAAAGGACGGTATCCAAACAAAAACAACTTGAAATCAGAAAATCAGTCTATTTTAAGATAAATTTTTAGTTCTCAAATGAAACATTTGGCAATTGAGAATAAAGCTTTAATATCTGAGCTACTTAGGGCCCTTTCCTTTTAAAAAATAGGACCAAACAATTTGAGAGTTAAAGACACACTATCCTTTCCCCACCCAGTGCAATACCTGTAAACTTTTTTGGGGTTCCAAAAGTTCATTGCTTCTTTTTGCAATTCGTTTGCCACATCCATTAGAATATGAAGTCCCAGTCAGTACAACAATAGTTGAACTGATCGTTTTCTCTAAGAGGATAGTGCATCTTTAACATTTAAAGACAAACCTGCTCCAATACACGCCCACAGAAACTGGTCCCTGGAGGATCAGCCAAATCAGTTAAAATCTGCAATACTGGCCAATATTCTTTTATCAAACAGGAGACCGCAGCTTTAAAGGGGAAAATGCAGACGTTGGATAAAAACAGCAAGAAATAGTCATTTTCATTAATAGGTCTCAAACAGTTTACGAAACAGCCATTATTATCTAAGCTTTACGCACATCCTTTCTGCAGACCCCTCTCGTATTACTCCCAAAGCCGAGTTAGCTCACAGCCGCACTCCCGACATCAGGAGCCACTTCTATATTAACGCGGATCGTAACAAGCTCCTGCAAACCCCATCTCTGAGTTCGGGTCGTGTGCCTCGGATCCCCACTGACATTACCATTCGCTTAAGAGGACACCGCTCCTTCCTCCTCGGGAGACTTGGGGGGACTCTTGGAGCGCGACCTGGACTTGGACTCCCTCTTGGACACGGGCGGAGGGCTCCGGGACCGGGACCGGGACCGGGAGCGCGAGCGAGACCTGGACACCGACGAGGACTTGGACTTGGACCTTCGCGCCGACCTGGACTTCGACGTGGACCGCGACCTCGAGCGAGTGCGGGAGCGAGACTTGGAGCGGCTGTAGCGGGAGCGACTGCGGGACCGGGAGCGGCTCCGACTCCGGGAGCGGCTGCGGCGGCGCCGCCGAGGGCTGAGGGCGGACGGGCCGGGCGTCAGGGCGGCCAGCGGGCCCCGCGGGCCGCGCCCCGCCCGCGTGCTGCGCCCGCCCCGCCGCCATTACCGCGCCGCCCGCCGCCCGGGCGCCATTTCCCCGCCGCGGCCCCGCGCCCGCCGCCGCCGCCACGTGTCCGCGCGCACCTTTGTGCCCCCCGCGCTCCCCCCGGGCCCCCGGCCCGTCTACCTGCGGCTCCGGCGTCCGTAGCCGCCGCCGCCATAGCGGCGGGGCGGCGGGCCGCGGCGGCTGTGGTGCGAGTCCGGGGGTCGGCCGTAGCGCGCCATCTGCACCCGCAGCTCGCGGCCGTCCAGCACGGCCCCGTCCATGGCGTCCATGGCGTCCTCGGCGTCGCGCTTGTCGTGGAAGCGGACGAAGGCGAAGCCGCGGGACTCCTTGGTGTAGCGGTCCCGCGGGATGTACACGTCGCCGACGCGCCCGTACTTCTCGAACACGCGCCTCAAGGTGTCGGGCGAGGTGCGGTAGGTCAGGTTGTCCACCTTGAGGGAGGTCATGCCCTCCACATCGGGAGGCGGGCGACCGTAACTCATGGCCCTGGAGAGCCGGCCGGGGGCCGCGACTGCGCGCCTACAAACTAACGCCCTGGGCGGGCCCGCGCGCTCGGCTGAGGCGGCGGTTCCCTCACACGAGGCCGGCTCGACGCCGCGCCGCGCCTCCGGCAGTTGGCTTCCGCGTGGAAACGCCGGGAGAGGCCGGACGGGGTAGGGGTGAAAACACGAGCGAAAAGGCCGCAGCACTCGACTCCACCAAAGAAACGACTGGGCGGGCAGCCGGCCCTAGCGCCCGTTTATATCCCTCCTCACAAAATGGCGCCCGCGCCACCCGGAAATGAATCCCCTGATTGGCTCGCCCCTCCCCGCCCCGCAACGCCGCGGCCACGCGCCCCGCCCCAGTCCGACGCGCCTGCGCAGAGCCCGGCGGGCGGGCCGAAAAGCGCGGAGTCACTATTGCTGGGAGGGGGGAGCGGAATTTGTGGGCAGTTGGAAAGCCCGCGAAACGCTCTTTCCGGCTGCGAGGCCGTACGGGCGCTCTCCCGCAGGAGGAACAGGAAGCGCTCCCCTTCCAGGCCCCGCCTTCTTTTCATGCCAATATACGAGCTCGACGCAGCTTTTCTGCTCGGACTTCCGCAGAAGGTTCCCGCTTCTATCAGAGGGGGTATTACTCCCCCTACTCTCGTTTGCCTCGTGATCTCCAGCTTTCTCAGGCCCCGCTGCCATGTCTCCAGGCTCCCTCCCGCAGTTCCCGACCTCTCCGCGGGGTTCCGCTTTGTAGCCCCCCCCCCCGCTTCGCTGGGGCGCGCGGGCTCGGCGCCGCGCCCCTCCACACGGCGCGCCTGCGCGTTTCGGGCTGCACAGGACTACATTTCCCAGCCGGCCGAGCGGCTGGCGCCGAGGCTGCGGTCAGATGACCTGGTCGCCTGACCCGCGGTGAGTCAGGGCCGGCCAGGCGGGCGGGGTGCGCCGGCCGCTGCACCTCGGCCTTGGCCCATAACCCCCCTCGCGGGCCCCTCAACCTGGAGCCACGACGTTATTGGCACCTCTCCGGGTGTCGGGCCTTTCCCTGCTCGGATCGGATCCTAGGAATGTCCTAACTGCCCGTGGGGAGAGCCTCACTCTCGGCCCGCGATTCTGATCCAAGAACTGGAAGTTGACAGCTTGGCAGCCTTGCTCCTGGATCTGCCTCCTCTTCTCACCATCTCATTTCCTCCCCCAGGATTGTCAGTGGGTTCCCCCGAGGAGAGCTGACCGCCCTGGGCTGCTGCTGACCTCCGGCAGAGTTGAGCCACAATGTCCCCGGAATCTAAAAAGCTTTTCAACATTATTATTTTAGGAGTTGCCTTTATGTTTATGTTCACCGCCTTTCAAACTTGTGGAAATGTGGCGGTGAGTCGGGATCTGTTCTCCCTCCTTTGAAGCGCCTCTCATAACGCATTCCAGAAATGACAATAAACAGTAATTGTGCCTAACAGCGCGCTTAAGTTGCACCTTGTATTTTCCCACCTACCCTTCCTCGGTTTTTATGCCTCGGTTTAATTTCGTGTGTCAGACGTTTCTTATTAATACTGTATCGGGATGGGGAGTTAAACAAGACCGCTTATTCCTCTGATAGGACTTGGGGTTTGTATGTTGACCTGTTATTTTTTGTCTGTACTAAAGTCTCCATTAGTAATGGGAGAATTGAGGAGAAAAGAACCCCAAGGCATAGCTACAGCTGGTGTCCCCCCCCCCCGCCGCCCCCCGTCACCGGTTTGCCTTTTCCTGTTTTTTAGTCCTTTTTCTTGTCTCATAGTTGACTTTCAATATGAAGTACTGAGTATCTTGAATTTTACTTTACCGGGTGCTTCATTCCCAGTTCTTGGAGACAAACTTTGGTGGGGATGGGGGGGGAGACTGCGAACTGTTTTCATTGATTAGCTTTATCTTCCACGCAGCAAACTGTCATCAGGAGCTTAAATAGCACAGATTTTCATGGCAGTGGATATACCAGGTATTGTACTGTATGATTGGCCTTACTTGATATATTACGGTAGTTACCTAAATCTTAACCAGAATCTCTGGCAATAATGCTGTGATTGAATTAGTAGTGGTTGCTTTTTCTCCGTGACTGGTCTGTTTGGGAGAACATAATAGAATAAAGGTGATGAGTTTAGGTTTCATGCAGAATTAAATACTGGGTTTGAAATCCTGGTTTCATGACTTAACACTGCATTATGTTAGGCAAGTTACTTCTGTGAGCCGTTTCCTTGCTCAGATAATGCGTTGACCTGTAAAGCTCTTGGCACAGTGCCTGGCGTTTAATAAACACTCAAGTATTGTCATAATTACATCTTCTCAATCCTAAACAGAGGGTGTTTTATATGATTCTTGAAACATTCGGTCCTGTCGTAATTTCATAATTAACATACTGTCATCAGGAGCTTTTAGATTTTTGTTAAAGGTGTTTAGTCCCACTTTTACAAACAGGGAAAATAAAGTGAAAAGACCTTCATGAGTCACTAGTACATTGTGACTGAAGCTGGGAGTGTAATGCACACATGGATATAAACACATACGGGTTTCTTAATTTTTCTGCAGTTAACTATTAGAGGCTGACCAACATCCCCCCCTTCCCCCACAACTCTTACTTGGTTCTTTATTACCTATCCTAAACCTGGTCTTATGTATGATATTTGAGAATAAAGGGGTGCTAATGTTCATTTTTTTTTTATTTTTATTAAAGATTTTTATTTATTTATTGAGAGAGAGAGAGAATGGTAGAGAGAGAGCATGAGAGGGAAGAAGGTCAGAGGGAGAAGCAGACTCCCCGCTGAGCAGGGAGCCCGATGCGGGACTCGATCCTGGGACTCCAGGATCATGACCTGAGCCGAAGGCAGTCGCTTAACCAACTGAGCCACCCAGGCGCCCTAATGTTCATTTTTTAAGTGTTTAACAATACCACAGTTTTTAGCAGAGCTTTGTCTTCAATTCCAGAGAACCTTTACTGTTTGAGAGGATCATAAAGGCCGAAGAATAATTTAGTTTGGGTTTGTAAATAGTGTCTAGGAAATGAACTCAGGACCCTCAAAATGGTTTTAGCCATACTTTGCTACAAGATGTATGTACTAGGGCTGGGTCTATAGTAGCTGAATAATGTTCAAAAGAGACCATTAGATTGAGTTAAATAAGTTCTGGTTTAAAGAGCGATAACTCTGTGCTTGTCATTTATAATAATGAAATTTCATGCAGTTGCCAGGAGTTGTAAACTAAGTTTGTAGAGCAGACTGGTTGACTAGGGCCTCTGGGGTGAGATGACCAGGGATGGGATTCTGGCTCCACCATTCACCAGCTATCTGGCTACACTTTTGGCAAGTAACTTAACCCCTCTGTGCTTCAGTTTTCTGTAGAGTGAGGATAATAATAATAATAATACTATCTTTATAGAGCTGTCAGATTTAATAAAGAAAACATACATAAAACGCTTGGCTCGGTGTCTGTTACATGTTACATGTTACATGTTAGCTGTTATTATAATTTACCAGTTCATTAAAAGCATATTGTCCAAGGCAAGCTGATTCAAAGGGAAATTTGATGAGACTTCAATATTTTGTATAAGTGAAAACCTCATTGTAGGAATCAGCTTAATGATAGAATTATTGTTAATTCCAACTAAAGAAATGAATGTTTATGGCAAAAAAACCTATAGACTCTAAGTAGATTTGAAAAAACGCACTTTTGAGACAGTGATTCAAGGGTTTTGTTTTTTCCTTTTATGTATTATGTGTACAGCATGGCAATTATATATGGAGTGTTCTCCGCTTCAAATTTAATTACACCATCAGTGGTTGCCATTATAGGACCTCAGCTTTCTATGTTTGCAAGTGGTTTATTTTACAGGTGAGTAGTGCGATTTTCTTTCATTTAATCCAAACACCCTCAGCACCTTCCAAGCATATAGTAAACTTTTCACAAGAAATTGCTGATGTGGGGGTGCGTGGCTGGCTCAGTCAGAAAGGCATGTGACACTCGATCTCTGGGTTGTAGGTTCGAGCCCCACGTTGGGTGCAGAGATTACTTAAAAAAAAATTGCCGAGTTGGATTGAATAGAATACAGGCAGTATTTTAGGGATTTGGTTCTCTCCTTGATGCCTAGGGTTACCATGTTGTCTTAATGTGGTGGTATGTGTGCATATACTTCTTTTCATCTTACTATTCGTAGAAATAGATATCTCTAAATCTGTTTCTACGAGAGTTGAAAAGAACTTCCCGTGAAATACTCTTATATCAAGTTGATTAATAGGAATTCAACCGAGATAACAGCTTTTTTTTCTGGGCTGTAGAATGACAGTCCCAGCCCGTGCTGAGCTATTGGCAAAGGCCAATTGCAAACCCTCGTTCAATGTCCGATCTTACAAATTCAAAATAGTAAATTAAGAAATGAGTAGGTCACATTTGTCCTCTTTTCCCCCAACACTTTAGGTAGTGTTGGAGAAGTCCTTTACAGGTTGACTTTTAAAAAAGAATTCTCAGAACCGATTCCTAGAAAGCATAATTGGCATTCTATATGAGGTATTGTTTGACCATAATGCGTTGACCTGTTACATTTTAGCATGTACATTGCCGTTTTTATCCAGCCTCTCCCATGGTCCTTCTACACAGCCTCTGTTTTCATTGGAATTGCAGCTGCCGGTAAGCATCTCGATGTTTATTTTCTCTGTCTTCTGGGATTTATTTAAGCGTATCATGTGTTTCATGTGTGAAGCCAAGTGATTTCATTCCCTTGACAAACTTTTGGTTTGAATTTCAGTGCTTTGGACAGCGCAAGGAAATTGCCTGACAATAAATTCAGATGAGCATACTATTGGGAGAAACAGTGGAATTTTCTGGGCACTCTTACAATCTAGGTAATAATCCTTCTGGAGCTAGTCTTTCCTTTAATTCTTTTGTCACACCATTTTTTTAGATCTTTCTTGTGTTGAAAATTCCAATCATCTGTGTTCCATGACTTGAGTTCCTAGCTGCATATGATACGGATTTAACGTTTTATAAAATTGTGTGAAATGCATGGACCTGCCTAATTGGGACTCGTGATTAGTAAAGAGAAAATCATGTTAACCATAATTGTATTTAGCATCTGCTATATTTCAGGCAGGGACTGTTGGCTTCATTACTAAATCTCAGTAATCCTCACCACCTCATAAGACCAGAAGGTATAATCGGTGTTCTACAAATGAGAAAACAGAGGCTTAAAAGTGAAGTAACTTATCAGATTTAAACCATCCTTATCTGCATTCCAAAGACCACATCCTTCCCAC